GAAGGACAATTCTTGGCAGGGCCGTTAAACCCCATGAGTAAGCTGTCCCTTAGACTCAGCTCTTTGGACAGGAAATGAAAACACTTCAACCTTCCCTAAGAAGGGAAATAACTGAGCTCCATAAACGCACCTGAATGAGAATAAATAAACTTAATGTAATAAGCTGCTATACAAATGCCACTAGTTATGTCCATCTAGGACATTATGAATTACTCTACAGACACTCTGTCACATATGATGCTGATATTCACAAAGCTGGTATGAAATAGCCAAGCAACAGGCTCATTTATAGGAGACATGAATAAAGTTCATGCCTCTTTAACATGCAAGAAGGTGACATTTTCATAATTGTAATATGCCTACCTACTTACATAGGCGTGCCCTCTCCAGAAGTCCTACACTGTCCAGGGATTTCTACACAGCAACTGAGCTGCATAGGTGCTACAGTTGGGGCACTGTCCCACTAGGGCACATCTAAGTCCCTCTACACATGTCCCCAGGCTCCCTGGGGACCTGACAAGCACTCATGGACCTTTGCAGATAACAGATAATCATGCTTCAGCCAGTTCTCCCATGGACAACATGGTAAGTGGATAAGAAAATGAGACAGTTGTGTTGGTACAGCAACCAAGGATTCATGAATTCCTAGACAATGCCACATAGCCTTACAGTGACGTCCCAGGACAACAGAACAAGCAGGGCTCTACCTTCTTCCTTCCCTTCCTCATGTCTTCAGATTTCTTCTACACAAATAAAAGAAACGTTCATTCTTGCCTTTTACACAGATTGATTATGTGGACAGAGATGAAGCCTGGTTACACCACGGCTGTGTTCTGCCTGCTGAGTGAACTTCCAGCTAGACAGTCAGGGCCATCTACATAAGAACACCGTAAGAATGATATATTTTAGTCTTTGTGGCCTTTTGGGAGAGGCATTCATTAATGAAGGCTCCCCTGCATACCCCTGCCCAGAATTCTCTCTCCCCACTGTAACCTGCAGTGACATCTCACTGTTGACATATCCAGGGACATCTCAATTGTCCCTAGAAAGTCACACTTCTATGCCAATGGTCTTCTCTGTCAAAGGTCCTCTCTCTGTGTACCATTGTCCATCCTCCATGTGTCAACAGTCCTCCTCGGTGTTCACAATCACTCTTCCACATGTAATGAACCAGGTCTCTGTAGGACACACCCCCAACACACACAATGACTCTGGATATGACTACCTTTTCCATCCACTTAACTGTAACTCACTAGTGTCATCATAGTATCACCTTATAGAGGACATACATTTGGAGCTTTTCCTTCCAGTCTAGAGATCCTTCTCTGAATTTATATCATGCGCTAACTACCTAATATGAGTAGGTAGCCTACTCCTTCCTACCTCTTGCAATACTGTTCTTGAACAGCTCTGATTAGCTTCCTTGCTATGGCAGCATATCTGAGTCACCATCAGGATAACCTGCAAGGCTCCAGAGTCCACACACTACAGGGATGTATGAGGCTATCGGAGTCTCCCTGCCTCCTCCCTCTTCTCCCTCCAGGTAGCCAGCATCATTCTAGAGAAGTGTGTGGCTACAAGACAGGACTTAGCATTTGGCCCTTAGAGAGCCTCACCTCACTTTTTTTTTTAGCCCAGGCCGCAGCTTCTGGACCTACACAGGTCCTGTCTGTGGGATGCCAGACAGCTTTTCAGTATGGCAGTAAGAGTGCAAGCAAGTGCCTCCGTGCCCATCTCAGAAAGGACCCTGACAAAGGGGTTAAAGCAAAGACAGTTTTGGAAAAAAATATGCTGGGAGCAATTCCACAGCGCAAAACAAAAACTCAGACCTCACAGGTCTAAGCAAACTACCCATAATGAACTCGAACCAGACCATGGGCTTAGTGGTAATCTTCAAAATTTTTGAAAACACACATATAACTCCAATAACTGAATATACTTCATGAAAATTTACAACTTTGGATCTTCAAAAGAGCTTACCTGGAAGATACAGATAGGCTCAGGGACAGGGGAAAAGATTGGCAAATCACATATTTGACAAAGGACTTATATCTAGATTGTAGAAACTGTGCAAAAGGGGCTGGGAGATGACTCTGTGGATCAAGTACATGCTGGATGAGAAAGAAGACAAGAGTTTGGCTCTCCATCACTCATGTGAAAAGCAAGGCTTGGTGGCCAGTATCAAATATGGGAGACAGGTAGGTCCTAGGGGTTCACTGGCCTACCTGCCTAGTCAAAACAGAGAGCATCAGGATCTTTGAGAGCTCCTGTGCCCCCAAAATAAGGTGAAGATGTAACTGAGGAACATGATGACATATACCCCTAGCCTCTACACATATTTACACATACACTCACTCATACCTAAGCACAGGAACACATGCACACAAACAAACACACACACACACACAGTCACAAATTTCTACAACAAGAAGAAAACAACTACACTGAAAAGACCTGGTCAGACATTTCTTCTGGTTAGTTATGGAGAAATTATCATTTACTATTAGAAAATAGCAAAGTAGCAACATAATATGTGTAAAGTATAAAATAATAGTACAATGACACACTCCCCAAGTAGCGAGCCAAATCCCTCATCCACTGCTAATATGAGAGTAACATGGCAGATTATTCTAGATCAGAGACCACCGGGGCTTACAAAATAAACCTATACTGCTGTAACTTGATCTGCAGGATCCCAGAAGGACGTGTGTTAGAGCCTTGCTCCAGCCTTCTGGGTGTGGAGGGTCATTTAAGAGGTGGGGTCTACTGGAGGTGTAGGGCCATGAAGATGCTTGATGTGAGATTCCCCTCTGTATGCTGTGAATATGTCTTATTACCACTGGTTAATAAAGAAGTTGATTCAGCCTGTGGCAGGGCAAAATAAAGTCAGACAGGAAATCCAAACAGAGATATATAGGGAGAGTAGGCAGAGTCAAAGAGACACCATGTAGCTGCTGAAGGAGACAGATGCCCTGAACCTTTGGGGAAACCACAGCCTCGTGGTGATACACAGATTAATAGAAATGAATTAATACAAGATGTAAGAGCTAGCTAGAAATACACCTGAGACCCTGGCCAAACAGTAATGTAATTAATATAGTTTCTGTGTGATTGTTCAGGTCTGAGCAACTGGGAAACAAACAAGCCACCTACATTTACAGATGGTGCCCAAGGTGGGGCTCGAACCCACAACTCAGATTCTTGAGATTCTCATGCTGTACCAACTGAGCTGGCTGATTCTGGTTACCTTTGAAGGGGGATGTGATGTCATTTCTTTCTTACTTTCCAGTCATCATGAGGCAAGCATTGTGGCTACCTCACAGTCCCTGTACAGATGAATAGCCTGACCCATGACAACACAGCCAAGCAATCGTTGATTTAAGTCCCCAAAACTGATAGGAAGTGAACTTTTTCTAGCTTTTTATTTTGCAGTAAAGGGGATTGAACTCAGGGCCCCGTTTGCTAAGGAAGTACTCTACCACTGATCTACGCCTCCAGCAGTCTACCCTCTTTTCTCTGTAGTGTGTGTGTGTGTGTGTGTGTGTGTGTGTGTTGTGGTATGTGGTGTGTGTGTCTCATGATGTAATATGGAGGTCAGAAAACATCTTGTAGGCGTTGGATCCTAGCTTCCATCACGTGGTTTCTGGGGACCGACCTCAGGTCATCAAGCTTGTTCCAAGGGAAAGGTCATCAGGATGCTTGGCAGCAAGTGCCTTTACCAGCTGAGCCAGGTTGCCTGCCCACCTACCCTCTTTTTCAACAGACAGTCTTGGGTATTTTATTTCAATTCCAGAAGGAGGCTAACCCATGTTTGGACACATATGATCTTGGAGGAGTCGAAAGAAATTAACTATAGATTTTTGCAAATACTTAGATGGATCTGAAATGTTGCTGAGGAACAATGTTCATCCTGCATTATAGACTTCCTCTTGTAACATAATATTCTGATAAGGAAAAATATCCCCAAATTATAGAGTTGCAGATTGTCAGGTCCAAAAGAAACTCAAGACAAATGGCAATCTGCGGTGCCTATTAGCATAGCAAAGCAAACTGTGGCCTCCAGGGGCACTCAGTACCTGTGGCTCTTCTCACCCAACCCCTGCCCAAAACTGCTAAAGATCCTGGGCTTCCTATCCTCCCTTCCTGTATAACCCTGTCATTGCAGGCTTTCACGCCCTTGGTCATCTTTTGTGTTTGTCTGCTCCTCTCTGAAGGTCTCCACCTCCTGTCTCCTCTCATGGCCTGGTCCAAATGCAGGCCATGCTTAGTCTACTGCTTTCTCTCCCTGCTCTGAACTCTTCCAGACGCCTCTGGCTGTGCTCTCCTCCATCTCAGCAAGATACCCTTCCCCTCAACCATAGCTTGGAGTTTCTGTGTCCTCACTTTATACACAGATGGAATTAATGGTTGCCAGGGATGTCAGGGAAATAGACTCCTTTAAGAGAGAACCATGATAACTCTTTGTCATAGGATTGTGTACATCTTGATAGAGATCACAAGAACACACATGAGACATACAACTGGACAGAAATAAATACAGATACATAAGCACATGCATGTAAATATAAAAAAACCTACATAATGTTGGTAACCAATCTCGCCCTGAAGTTCTAACTGATCATGACAGTCATTGCACGAGAGAGAATTTGGAGAATGGATTGTATAATCTCTAGGTGTAAGTTTTGACACTGCATAAAACCTTATTATCAACATATAAAATTTTAAAGATGATTTGATTATGGCCAGGCAGTGGTGACACATGCCTTTAATTCCAGTACTTGGGAAGCAGAGGCAGGCAGATATCAGTGAGTTCAAGGCCAACCTGGTCTACAAATCAAGCTCCAGGACAACCAGGACTGTTCTACAAAGAAACTCTGTCTTGGGAAAACCAAAAAAAAAGAGAGATGATTTAATTATAGTATGATAGTAACTAAAGCAAATACACAATAAAATAAACTGGATGAGTAGCTTTCTACTACAAATTAGAGGTCAATACTTACTCCTATGATTTCTAAGTTTCCTTTCCCAGGAACATACTTTCCTTTGCAATCATAAAGGATTTGATTAGGCAGAAGGTGAAATATAAAAATAAGATAGCAATGGAACAAGAGAAGATTGCTTGAGTGTCCAAAAGAGATGCCTTTACTTGAGATGTCCATGATCTGTTAACTGTGGGTGTTTCTTTCAGAGTCCAGAGAGTAAGTTCTGTTGGAATGGTGTGATGTCATCGGTGTCTTCAGAATGTTTGAATTCACTTAGCAACAGCCAGTGCTCTCCTGACAGTTGTTGAGACTTGAGCTCTGGGAAAGCTCTGAGAAAGCCTTGAGCAACGAGACATTGAGAGACCAGAACAGGTGATCACGCGGGTGAGTTCACCCTATGCCAAGCTAGACTGAATGTCAGGGCTCAACTACATTCCTTCAGAGACTCAGAGCTGTGTCAGAGATTTCCCTGGGAGTCTCCAGATGGACAACAGGTGATATGATGAGAATGGAAACAGGTTTTAGATTAAGGGAAACAGAGGATAGGGAGAAATGTAAACAAGGGGAGATGAATAAAAACAGGAAGGATGTTCAAAAAGAATCTTGTCTACCAATGACTGCTGTTAAGATGCAGCCATAAGGAAGATTATGTGGGACACAGGATCCGATTGTTTAGGGACATTTAACTGCCTATGAATTTATAGTGGTTCATAGATATATGGAAAGAGGGATGACAAAAAAACACGTGTGTGAAGTCATCCGGTCTGGCCCTACTAGAACTTGACTCATGCTCAGTAACCATTCTTACCATTGGCAAAGGTACAGGGGAAATCCACAGACACGTGGCACGCCCTAGGCAAGTCCAGAAATCATGTTCTCACGTGTAAATGAGGTGAATTAAAGTCATTCACAGAATACAGACGAATTAAGTAGGATCTGATCAAATGATAATTTCAAAAGGAATCAAGACTGATGGGGCAGAGCTCCATGGAAGAGTGCTTCCCCAGCATGTGTGCAGTCCTATAGCCAAGTATCATCGCAACAAAACAAACAAAAATCTCAGCTACCGTTGACTATGGAACCATGATTGCAAACTTTATTATAATTTTGTCTTAGAAAAAGAAGGTTACACAGAAATAGCCTGGGTTGGAATCAGTCTGATCCCCTGCCTTGCTTGTATAACCAAAGAAGACAGGATTCCCATAAGTCTACACAAGTCACCTCAGATACAGCACCAAGGTTTCGGAAGCCAATGAATCGTCAAAAGAAAAAAAGACTTGGGAAAGTAAAGACAGGTGTGTATGACCCTCGGTGTTACTGCCCTGGTCCCCAGATGGATGAAGGATGAAACAGTATGTCCACCGCACCTAGCCCCACCCTCTTCCCCAGCTACCCTGAGTCAGCTTCTACAGTAGCATGGCAGGGTGTTTCCTCGTGAGCCAGGAGGTCACCTCTTGTTTACTTCTTACAGCTATGTCAGACAGAAGATCAGAGAGGTCAACTGTCCCTCCTAAGGCACCTTGCAATCAGAATGACTCACGAAAAGAGGTGCCAGAGAATAGTGTTTGCTTAGCAAAAAAAGGTACAAGGAATTCAACCCCAAGCCACCTTGGTAAATAAGTGCATATTGGACTTAGGGGGCATTCCTTTTAGATATATTCACATTGCATGTTAATTCCACAATGTGTATGAGAAGGGACAGGCCAGGCAGTGGCCAAGCAGGTCCTTCTGTGCTCATGGTGTGATCTTCTCTTCCTGCAGCTCTACTGGCCAATAGTATCCAGGTTTCCAGGGGTACATCTGCAAAGGATGTCCGTGAGAAGAGATTCAAGAGCAAGAGGGGACACAGAACAAGGAAACTGGAGAATGTCCTCACTGGTATGGGTTGCATGCATGTCAGTATGAATGAAACAGCATGGCCACTATGCAGAGTCCCTCCATCTTCCCAAACTGACCTAAATCCAGATGTACAGGGCCATAGCAAGGGTGTCCTGGTGAGCCAGGATATCACTTCCTTGGTCACTGTTTTAGCTATGGCAGATAAATGATCAACAAGTTCATCTGTCTCCACAGGGGTGGCCTACAGGCAGAATGAACCAGAGAAAGAGGCACCAGAGAGAATCTGGTGCTTGGCAAAGAAGAATGCATAGTAACCCAATTTCTAGTCTCCATTGTAGATATGCAAGGGTCATCCTTCCAGATTTCTTCAGATGTTACATTGAATGAGAAAAAAAGAACTCTGCCATGTCCAGGTTGTCCCTCTTGTGGTCATGTGAGGTCTTCTCTTCCTGCAGATCCAGAAGACGTCATTCTTATCTCCAGTGATGACTCTCCAGGGGATGGCCCTGAGCAGAGATCTAAGAACAACAGTGGACAAAGAAAGAGGAAACTGGAGAATGTCCTGACTGGTATGTGTCTGCACACCCGTTGGCATTCATGTCCCAGTATGAATGAAACAGCATGGCCACTATGCAGAGTCCCTCCATCTCCACAAACTGTCCTAAATCTACTTGTACAGGGCCATAGCAAGGGGTGTCCTGATGAGCCAAGACATTCCTTGGTCACCTTTGTAGCTATGATAGAAGATAAAAAAAAATCTATCTCCACAGGGGTTTGCTACAGACAGAATGATCCAGAGAAAGAAGCACCAGTGAGGAGTTGGTACTTGGTAAAGAAAAGTACATAGTAACTCTATTTCTTGTCTCCTTTGTGGATATGTCAAGGCTCTTCCTTTTAGACTTCTTGAGATGTGGCATGGAAGAACTTGGTGATGACCAGGTTGTCCCTCTTGTAGTCACGTGAGATCTTCTCTTCCTGCAGATCCAGAAGACAACATCATCCTTATCTCCAGTGATGACTCCCAAGGGGCTGTCCCTGAACAGAGATCCATGAACAATGGTGGACCAAGGAAAAGGAAACTGGAGGATGCTATGACTGGTATGTGTCTGCATACCCCTTGGCATTCCCATCTCAGTATGAATGATACTGCATGGCCACTATGCTTGGTCCTCCTATCTTCCAAAATTGTCCTAAATCAACTTCTACAGGGCCAACAAGTTCATCTGCCTCCATAGGGTTTTCCTGTAGACAGAATGATCCAGAGAAAGAGGCATGAGAGAGCAGCTAGGGCTTGGCAAAGAATAGTACATAGTAACTCAATTTCTAGTCTCCTCTGTGGATGAGTGAAGGCCATTCCTTGAGACATCGTGAGATGTCACATGGGATTATGAAAAGGGACAAACTCTGCCATGACAGGTTGTCCCCCTTGTGGTCACATGAGGTCTCCTGTTCCAGCAGATCCAGAAGACGACATCATTATTATCTCCAGTGATGAGTCTCCAGGGGATGGCCCTGAGCAGCAGGCCAAGAACAAGAGAGTCCAGAAAACAGAGGCACTGGGAGATGTCAAAGCAGGTATGTGCCCATCTTACATGGACACTGGGGTCTCTGTTTGAAGAGCCAATTGCAGTCGAGTAACTACTTGTCACTCAGTCCTCAAAATGAGATCAGTTCCTGAATAATTAGGAAGTGACCAGGGTTCCTGCTGTGGTCACATCCATGCTTACTAAGAAGCTTTTGTCCATACAGCTTCCCAGAAGAGCAGCCTGCAGGATTCAGGCATGGCCACCTCTGAAGCCACCCCTGGAGCTGCCTCAGAGCTGAAGTTCTCCAGAAGAAGGACGAAGAGGAGCATATGGACTGTGGGCCGTATCGAGGGGACAAAACTCACCATAAACAAGAAGAGAAGACTCTGTTACCAGCCTGAGGACCTTGAAGCCTTCTACCGACTCCTCGGTTGGTTCTTAGAACTCGGGATTGGATACGTAGGGCCAGTTCAAAAGTGAAAATGGCGTATGGAGAGAACTGGTTCAAACCTTACCCCAGGGCTCATGGGTCCTTAGGTGACACAGATGGAGGCTCCCTTGTTATGTGGAGGTGTCCCCTTTCTGTGACAAGCTCTCAGATAGAGGAAAGCAGACTTACTCATGAGTACTGATGTAGGTGCCTCTATCCTCACAAAACAACCCACAAGTCAAGATGGTGCACACTAGAGAGACTAGATATATCACTGACCCCAGCCTTGGGGATGCACTGCAGGGTAGACACAAAAACTAAAAGACTCAAACATTTTACAAATAAAGATGCTATCACCTCTTTATAGCTTCACAGGAAAGGATCTGAAGGCCATGGCACCTAGAGTGGGACAGCAAGAAGGCAGGAGATCTCTATGGCACTAGTAAGGCACAGAGGGTCTCTCTAGGTGGTATCAGGTCATAGATCTGGGACCAAGTGTGGCAGATTGTGAACAACACCCAGGTGCTCTACCCAGTACAGCATCTACCAGTCACAGGCAGTTGTTTATTTTGTGTTAAATGAAGTAAACAGACGATTTTTGTTCAGTTCCCCGGTATCCTCGGCTGTGATTCTGTGTCCAGGGCCTACATGTGGCTGTGGGCTGCCATATTGGATGGTAGAGGATAGAATGCATTAACACCTTGAGTACTCTCTCAGACAATGCCCTCTTGGGGTCAGGGACATTGCAGAGGACCCATGCTGTGCAAGTGCTATTTGCCTGGCAGCTGGTGAAACACACACAGGACCCCACACCGGCAAGTCTACTTAAAGAATGGTGCCTCCAGGAAGGACCTCAAAGACAAATGAATTCCTGTGGAGCAGGGAAATCTGGTCTCTACCTCAGAGAAGAGGGGATCCAGGCTAGAGGGATGTTGTGAAGCTGTAAGCATGGAGCTAGGAACTCTCCATCTTTGCTCAAGGATTCCGTCACCATCCAGAGATGGGGATCTTGGTACAGTCTCAGTACGGGAATTGGGCAGACTGTGCAGTCACAGAGATCTAGGCCTCACCTAACGTTTGAATGAAGTAAAATTTAAAACATTGAGAGCTATGTTGAATAAAAAGCATCAAATGCCATCATTGTCCAAGCTCAAGCGTCAACACCAGCAAAGTACAACATGGCTGTGTCAATGGCAAGAACAAACTATGTTCTTGATATGAAGGTTAAGACCTTTTAGATAGGTCCTGCTTCCTCTCAGGAATTCAAAAGTGTTGGGGTTGGGAATCATGTCTGAGGGCCTCATATTTCTTCCATAGTTTTCCTCACCATCACATGCTTGGTCCCTAAAAATGGAAGATCCAAGTGCCTCTCATGCTTGCTTTCTTTGCAGAGGATCCTGTGGTCCAGAACTTCTTGGCAGCTGACATTTTCTTCAGAATGACCGACAAGGTAGCTGGAACCCCAGATATTCTGCAGTCGTGGCCCTGGGAGACACACAGAAAAGATCAGACTGTACTAGGCCAGGATAACCCAGGACTGCTCTCCAGGACAGAGGCAGCAGAGACATGCTGCCCATCCCTATTATAGCCCCCAAATTCCTTCCTGGTTTTCCAGTTAGCTCACATCCACAAGTCTGTGTCTCAATGGGAGTAAAACAACCAGCTGGAGAAGATCCAGGCCCCACTGAGATTTCTTGTTCTTTGTCTACTGCCTGCCTTCCCTCACCCGCTCTCTGTCCACACAGTACCTGCTGTCCATGGTGGTGGAGTACTTTGGCCGACTTGGGCTGCCTGGACATCTCTACAACAGGATCCACTTCTTCCTGGCCCTGTGAGCATCACATGGGAACAAATCTTTCCAAATCCCATTCCCAAAGCTCCCCTCACTCCATAAGGCCGGAGTGGTGATCCTCAGCGATAAAGTAGTTGAAACTTTCAAGGATCCATAAAGGGGAAAGGGAGAGTCCTGACATCATGAAGGATCTTTACTACCTTTAAGAAGGAAAACAGAAATGTCCTTTTCCCGGGCTGAGAAGTGAATGGGTCCTGCAGGCATTGTACCAGGATGCCCTGTGATGGTCTAGACCAAAGTTACCCTGCACAGACTGCTTCCCCACTCGGTCTCTAGAACTTCATGTTCCCCCACCTGGCTTCCACTGTCATAGTCAGGAATATGTATTTCCCCTTTCCTGTGGCAGCTACATCGCCTTTGACATGGAAGAGGATGACCCCATATTCAAGAGGAGCATCTTTCAGTTCCTGCTGGGCACAGACACATGGCAGGACTTATACAAGGACTTCCAAAGGCTGCAGGGAGAGTTCCTTCGAGTCATAGATTACCGAGCCTGGCTCACACGACAGGAGTGTGAAGAGGTCTGCCAGGGATCAGTGAGGGGAGTGGGTAGACAGGGTGCTGCCTAGAGAAGAACAAGGATGGGTCCATCCTCCTGGGCTCACCTCTCATTTCCCTTTCAGATCCAGAACCAGAACCCACACCACTGGGTCTGGAGCCGGGTGCGACAGAGTGCCCCTTAGGTTCCCAGGCCTGGGGACCATCAGCAGGTTAGTGGAGGTCCTGGCCAGGGGCCCACACACATGGGCTAGCTCTGTCCTCTGGGTTCCTGAAGCTCGATTCTGTGTTGTATGTTCATAAGAGGAATTCTCCTGTTCCCTGTCTTGGAGTTTACTCTTGAAGGAGAGCATTGGGCATATGACCACTTCTCGGGGACAGAAAAACATTCAAATCCCTATTGTCCAACTGAATTACATCACAGAACCATGCAATCCATGATGCAAAGTTTCAATGTGCATGTCCTTTTTGATGTAGGGGTTTTTTTTATGTTGTGGTTGTTGTTGTTTTGGTTTTTAACTCTCAGAAACAGAGAACACTGGCATGTAAAAGGAGGGAGTGAGCAGGGAATTCTGTGAGGAAGTCCCAACCATAACACAGCAGAAACAACCCCGTCTCGTATCACACGCCAATGCGCACTTCATTTAGTTGAAATTTCCCTTTCGGTTTGGATATTCTCAAAGCGGGGAGAGAATGCCAGTAAAATTCTTGAAGGTCTCTTGTTCCTCAGTGTTCTTGCTAAAATAACCCACTAAATATCCTGCCACGCTACAGGGTGTGACAGAGCCCCATCAGCCCAGGAGGTCGCGAGTGTCAGTGGAAAGATGAAATCGGGAACTCTGCACTCTAAGATAATCACATCGGGTGGGACTTTTACTTCATCCCCAATACTTTGCTACAATGGAAAAACTCACCTCATACACACTCAAGGGATCCCGTGATTCCAAATCCTGCAGCAGTGCTCACAGTTACTTGCATTTTATCACTTGAAGCAGTGAAAATTCCATAGCATTTCCCACTATGAACTTTTTGTGTGATGTGCACAAGTTTGTCTTTTATCCTTACACTACTTTCTTTCTCTCTTTGTACAATAGCTCCTGCCCTTCCCTGCCATTTCCTCCCTTCATTAAGAAACCATAGCTTCTCCTCATGAAACAAGCACCCTAAGAATCCACCACCCATCCCTGGTTATACATTCGGGTTGACGGATCCAGGGAGAAGACGGACCTCAGCAATGTGAAGCCGGAAACCAGCACAGCCAATGAACCTCGGGCTTCAAGCATGGCAGCCTCCAAAGGTCCCTACCTTCAAAATCCTCCATTGGTTCCCACAACAGCTTGGAGGGTCCAAGAAAATCATTACCTTCAGTGACTGAGGACAGGGAGTTGCGATGTCACACAAAGATCAGGAGCCCTGGACCAGAGGAAGAAGAACTTAAGAAGCCAGTACAGGCTCTGGGGTGAAGCAGGGAACTGGGAAAGTGACTGACTCAAGTCAGAGGATGAGGTCAGGCCTATCAGCTGGGCAAGCAATCTCTATGGAAACTGCTGTCCTAAACCCTCTCACACAGTCTACCGGGGTCTCCAATGCCGGCTATTCACACAAGATAATGGAGAACTCTCACCAAGGGCTTATGGGAAACACGGAGACGCTGAGTACAGTCATGTGGAGATCTGAGGCCACTATCAAAATACGATAGGAGAAAGGGGATCCCATGAAATGCAGGCTGTTACCACAATGAAACAAGCTAGCTTGAAAATGGGGGAGCCAGAAGCAGAAATGGGTGAGGAAGGGGAAGTGAGGGGATGAGGGTCTACAGCTCACCCTAACACTGGGAACAAGATGGTGAAAGCTGAGGAACAGGAATGATAGACTCACAGAGGACAAACAGGGCAGATCCCAGGGTCACAGTGACGTTTACAGACTAGACCACTGCAAGGCAGATAGGACTGAAGACAAGAAAAAGACCACATCAATTCAACACACAGCTGACATTATTCAAATTATTTCGGGTACATGGTCTTGGTTACAGTGCTTACATTGTTATTTTTGCTATGATAGGTTACAGTATTTTGATTATAATTTGGATATAATATTTTGTTAAAATGCTTTCAAATTGAAATTTTGTTTATATATGTTTAGTTACAATGTTTTGATGTTATACGCTTTGGTAATTGTATTTTAATCATAACTTGTTTCTTAAAATATTTCAACTGTATATCTATTATGTTAATTTGGGATATATTATTTTAGCCATAATAATTTTATTATAATATTCTTATGATAATAGTATATATTATTTTGCTTGAATTATTTTTGCTATACAACTTTGGTTATTATAATTGTTTATATTATTTTGCTAATAATTTGTTTCTACTACTTTTATTACTTTATGCTTTGGTGATGTTACTTTTAAGGTTATTTTGACTATAACAGTTTGATTAATCATTTAAATTATATTGTTACATTATCACATATTAAATTAAATTACATTTACTCATATAATATTTCCATTATAAAATTATGTTATCACATATCAGTAATATTGTCTTGGTTATTTATTTTCTTTGTAATGTTTGGTTCTAACATTATAGGACTTATATTACTTGTGTTACAACATTATTTGTACAAATAAAAATGAATTACTTGCCAGAAAGACTCTGATTGGCTCACAAAGCAAAATTCTTCTCTTGACTATCTGAGAGATACAAAGTGATTCTCGGCGTTCCAAGCACAGTTGCAGAAGTAAGATTGGAAGGTGTGCACACCAAGAGGAGTAGGATGCACATCTGGATTGCAAAGGAAAGAAACGCAGGTTCAAACTCCACCAGAGACTGTAAAGGACACATGGACAGATGATTCTCTCAATTGCACCTCATGGGATTCAGGAGGATGGCTAGGCATTAAACCACATTCATCCACACATCATCTAAACTCGTTTGAAAATAAGAACATGAGAGGTGATTACTATGTCTGATTTCCATCTTCTACTTCAGAGCCATAGCAGTAAAGCACACAGGTCGATGAAATAGATGACCCAAGTCTAAGTCCACACTGATGTTTTTCTACTGCCTTAGTTGTTGTACATGAATCTATTGGTTTTTTAATTATTATCTATAGCCCAATGATCCCACAGTGAGTACACTGCCAGCTACTCAGTCCTCAGTCTGGCAGGTCTACAGGTTTACAACCTAGCTCTGCAGTGGTTCAATATGTAAGTTTAAATTAAGTCTCTATCATTCTAGTTATCAACAAAGGCTTGGTAGTCATATGTGCAGTGAAAACCTGCTAGATTGGAGAAGTCAAGAAGCAACCAGATGACCTTGCTTTTTGGCCAGAAACACCATAGGAGAATTGTTTATTACTTTGTCCTAGAACCAAAAGGAATCTCAAACCCTACTCCCAGTCCTTTCCTTCCTCTATGTCTTCTATATCCCAATTTTCAGTTTCTCTATGGCTGATTGCTGTCAGATAGTCGCTGGCTCTAGTAAACTTTATTAACTCTGGAATGTCAGGGGCAATCAAAATATCCCACAACATTACCGACCCACCCCACATTTGTCTAAATAAAAAGGAAAAGGTTTTAATTCAAACACAGTAAAACTATATACAAAATACAATTATCGAAGAAGAACTATACTTAAAATATCAAATCCATCTTTATTTGGCAGTTTCAAAGAAATTATTCCATTATCTACCTAAAGTTTTATACCAAAACCATTCTCTGCCATAACTTGTAGTATCCTAAAAATATCCAATTAGACCTAAAAATTATTTAAGCTTTTATGCTTCTCAACCTTATAAAATTTACACCTCTTAGGTAAATTTCTTTGCTGAATTTGGTAACAAGGAAATCTAGTGCTTATCCCTGTCAAAGACCTGAAATGAATATAATATTACCCAAGTAAACAGGTAGTGTCAAACAAGCAACTTCCAAAACTATAGAAATGACAGATAACCTGGCTGTCTGAACAGTCACCCAAGATTCCTCTGAAAGCCCCAGGAATTCATCTTCAGTCTACACACCTACATTATCTGACAGATGTTTTTGAAAAGCAGGAATTTTGAAAGACTACCTACCTTGTCTTGGCAAAGTTCAGCAGACACTTTTTTTCGTATTCTGATTGCACAATTTGGTCACCATACTGTCAACAGTGCAGTTTCTTTGCTTAGTGAATCTCTTTGTCTAAAGGAAATCAAACTCCATGTGGAACTTTTTCAATACCCATCAACCTTTTCTGAAATAAAATAGTACTACCAGAAGAAGTTGTGTCTCACTGTCATAAAAGGCCTTAGGTCATTAAAAACATCTTAAATGCCATATGCTGTAGGTCTCTGAAGAGTCTGAATATCATCTATTCAATAAATATAAATATATGTGTGTGTTTGACCTTGAAAAACATACTTTCATGACTTCAAGTTTGATTGTTATAGATTACTAACCACTAACTACTAATTTCTTAGTTATCTTAAACTGTTTGCAATAATAGCCTTAAAGGAAGAGCATCTTACATTGCATTTTAAAATGTGCTGCATATGTACAACACACTAAACAAGAGATGAAACACATACACAGTATAACAAAATTAACATCAACCTTGTATCATTATACAAAAAATGCATAACAATGTAAAATATTTGAGAATAATAGTTGCTTTTTGGATTAAAGGTAGATTCCATAATCTACTGTTTCACTCTATCATTTCTATAATGCTGCTTTTTTATATTATTCACAGGAAACATTCATCAAGAGGAAATCTCAGTACTGAACAACTATACCCCAAATAGAAGGGCACCCTCATATGTAAAAGAAACACTTCTGACGCTTAAATCATACATTAAACCTTACACTGTAATTGTGGAATGTGGGGATCCACACGTGTTTGAGATCCGCCATTACAAGATGGCGCTGAGAAGCGTGGTAAACAAGATAAACAATTCTATTTTTGGCGCGAGTCTTGCCTTAGTTTGCCTAGCAACAGCTTTGCACCAATCCTAGCCTGACTAGTGTCCTGTTAGGGGGGAACATCTTTTCAGCCTGCATATAAGCCGCCACTCCTCCCAGCTCGGGGCCCCTCACTTCCAGCTCTCCCTCAACCAAGCAGTGCTTCAATAAAACGTGATCAGAGAAGAATCCTCGTGTCGGTGGTCTTTCTTCCCCTGCTGGTCAGGGGCGCGCCACAGCTGGTGCCTGAAACCCGGGACTGAGCATCTAGCAGACACTTGTGAGGGGCCGAAGAGGATTCAAAACTCTACACGCGAAGCGGACTACGTCGGTAAGTCCTCTCAGGTAAAGCTGTGGTTTGCTCTGTTTGTTATTCTGCTAACCCTTGTGGTCTATTTTTGTTGTTTTTGGCTGCGGTGTGATGAACCTGGAAAAGAGTGTCTTTGTTGGGTGTAGAAATCGAAAGTAAGTCCGCTGTAGATAAAGCGGCTTTCGACTAACGCCAAGGCCTCGTAAATAAAGACATCGAAAGTAAGTTCGCTGTAGATAAAGCGGCTTTCGACTGATGCCAAAAACCTCGTAAATAAGTGGGCAGTATGGGCCACAGTCATAGTACTGAGTCAGGAGTCTGTGACTTCACCAGTCCAATACAGAGTCTGTTGAAACAAAGGGGTTTAAAGATTTCTACGAGTACGATTCAGGCCATCGTCAAGGACATAGATAAGACTGCACCGTGGTTTGCCGTTTCTGGCGATCTCACCCTCAACTGTTGGGAGAAACTAGGCAGAGACCTAGAGAAAAATGATCAATTAGGCAGAGGAACGCTCCCCTTGTGGAGATTGGTACATTCGTGCCTTAAGGAAGGGAAAAATATAGAAGTAATTAAGCAAGGACGCAGGGTACTATCAGAGCACCAGGACAGTTTATCAGAAGCAGAATCAAAAGGAGAGGATCAAAACATGCGCAAAAATAAGAGAGAAAGGAAAAAGGCTAGCCAGAAGGAAGAAAAGGAGAGGGAAGAAAAGAACCCTCATAAAGAAACAAAAAAGGATAATATTAAGAAAAAGCCTCCAGCGTCCTTATATCCAGTGCTGGAAGAATTTGCCTCCCTCGAGATAACGGAGTCAGAGGAGGAGGATGAATTAACTGAGCAAGAAGAGGAGGATTTGGAGGAGGCAGCTGCAAGTTATCAGGAGGAGAGGTATGATCCGCCAGTAAGGGGCAGATGAGTCAAATTAGGAACGGGGCCAATGGCGCCTTCGGCTCCGTATTCTGAGCCGGCTCCACCCCCTTATTGCCCTCCTCAGAATAAATGTCATTTTATTGGTGGGAGAACCTGGTCCCGCCTTGCGGCTGCTTTTCCAGTATTTCAAGATCCTCAAACAAATACCAGATATCATGAGCCCATTCCTTATAAGCAGCTCAAAGATTTGGTAGAAGCATCAAAGACATATGGAGCAAATGCCAGCTATACACTCACACTCTTAAACAGGTTAGCCAATCAGGCTATGACTCCTTCGGATTGGTGGAAAGTGACAGCTTCCCCCAGAGAAAGGATTTCTCTTGTATCTTTACACTTAATTTTTAATTCAAAATATTGCTGGAAAAACAGCAACAGACAGACACGCTCTGTTTGAAAGCAATTCCATCTAATTCTAAGGCCTGCTGTAATGGCACAGGCAAACAAGATTTGCTCTTTGGAGCAGAGACCTGCAGGTCTCTAAGTTCAAAACCAGCCTACTTCCAGTACTGATTGTGCTGAATTTTTACACTGAGATTTTTAATACTCTTAAATATTAATTTGGGAGGAGAGTTTTGTTTATGTTTTTCTAGGAATGCTGACATACATCTGGGTGCCAGCAAGACCGACAAGAGAAATAAAGAAGAAAGATGACCCAGTGGATGCTGAGTGTCCTGCTGTGGAAGATTCATGTGGAGGCAGCAGAGATGACCTTCAACCTCTTATCTCTTACTCTATTTTGCCTTTTCCTTCCTTAGGAATGGGTGGGAACAGAGATATTCTTGGCATGCTGTGTCTAGGTGGAAGTTTTTGATGTTATGACTATTACCCCCTATCCTGCTACCCTTAATGATTCCAAAGCTATATCAGCCTTATTAAGTGGAAATTGGTCCCGAGAACTTGAACAGCTTCAAGCTAATTTTACGCTTAAGATACACATGCTTAACCAGACAGAAGTAGAAGTTGTTACATTGGGACAGTTTTCTGATTGGTTAGTAGCTACATTCACCTATTTTAAAGAGTGGGTTGGAGTTGGCATGTTCGGCATGATAAT